CTGCCGGCCCATTGTTGCACGAAGACGCCGGCGAACCTGGGGAGCAATACCCATTGCCTCATGGCCCCAGCTAATGCCAGCTACTATGCTGCCCTTGTACAATTTGAGGCGGATGGCTCGTTCAGGAATCTTCAATGTCATCAGCTTGCGAGTCTTTCTGGCCGCTTTGGTGCGTCTAGCTCGCACAGTTTGAATCCTTCTCAAACGGCCAGCCGTGCAATCCACTCCAAGATCACGCATCACATCATGTACTCTTGGGCCTCCCTTGGGAAGCTGTTCTTGGAGGATCTTTTTGACTGCGGCATTGGACACAATGAATCCTGTCTTTTGGGCCGAGACCTTCAAATTGTCCTTCTCAAGTTCTGTTTTGACAAATTCATATGCCTGTATCGCGATTCTTACAGCATTGTAAGGATCCTTGTCAACAACATCAAAACTCAAGTCATCAATCCATAAGTCCGTGTGCAGTTGTGGGAAACGTCTGCTGAACTCACGGAGGGCTCTTTGCAAATAGACCTTAGCTGCCAAAGGTGCTTGCGGATCACCTGCCAGAATGCCATGGCTTGCCCATAGCGGCTCGGACGCTTCTCCTTCTGCTTCCAAGATCCTGCTGCCTGCATACACTTGCATGGCCAGGGCCGCATGGGTGGCTGGATACGAGGAATCCAGCCAGCGGTTTGCCAGCTTTTGCAGATTGATGCGGTCATAGAAATTGGAAAGGTCCAAAAGGACAGAGACAACAGTTCTTCGGTGTGCTTGATGATGTTCCGTCATGAAAGCTCTCTTCAGAGCTACCTGCAAACATTCTGTCCCTGGCACGGCCCTTTCCCAAGGATATTCGTCCTGTATGCGCTGGGCCCACAGCTTGGTCTGCCCGTTTCTCAAACGGCACCAGAGCCTGTAGAGGGTGGCAACCAATGCAATGGGGCGCTCAATGACTTGAGACTTGGGCAGAAGAGCTATCAACGAGGTCCCCCATTGGCTGGGTATCATGGCCGCTGCCTCGATCTGATGAAAGAGCTCTTTCAAATCTGCCATTGCACTGAAAGGCAGAGCTTTGAGAAAGTCAAAGCCAATGCCGTCCAAACCTGGTGCCTTGAGAGCCAACTGCTTGATGGTATACCAAATCTGTGCCTCAGTCAGCGGAGGGAGCTGCTGAGCAGCAGCTTGGCCTCTCTGGATCATCTGCTCCATGCTAGCAATGAGGACCGGTTGATCCTGGGTTTGCCAGATGTCCCCCCACTGTTGAACTCTCTTTGCCATGCGCTCACTCCGTGGCTGGTCTTGGAAAGGCCTCATGTATGGCAGCTCGTCCTTCTTGAGTGTGCGGTACAATCCGCGGCATCCCTTCTGTGTGGCCTGGGCCAGCCATTGCCTGTATTCTTCGGTCTCTTGTTGAAAACTCTCTTGTTGATGCAGTTCCCTTTGTCTGGTGGTGTAGTTCAAAAGGACATGAATGTGCTCATCGCCATGCTGATGCCATAGCATTTCAAACAACATCATGTAGCCTTCACAAGTAACCGGGGCATCCGGGTGCCAATTCTCATCAATATGCCAGCCGAGCTTTTGTAAGCCTGTCTGATGCCGAGGTTCACGCTGAGACTGGCGCAGCAACCTTTGCAACCGGATTTCGATCTGACCCCAAAAGGCCAAGCTGCCTTTCCTCCATAGCCACGGCTTGCTGGGGTCAGCAATTGGTCGATGAACGTACTGGAGAGTGGTGCCTCTCCCAGTAGTGGGTTTGTCCAGCTGTTGAAGCACAAATCTTTCAATGCGGTCATACAGGCTGCCAGTCTGGGAAGTGAGGTTGTCCGTCTCCTTGTTCAGCCAGTTGACTTTGACCTGTCTGGTTTCAAAGTGGTGCCACTCTTTTTCTGGCTTGCTGAGTTTGGGCGCTGGCCCATATTTGGAGAGTTGTCGCGCCACCACGTCCTCAAAATGACCAGCCAGTTGGAAGCGGAGCATGGCATGAGGTTTGAAAGGCACCATCCAATCCGTCTGAACCGTCATGTCTGCTATCAACTGTGTGGAGACAAATGCCCAATCCAGCTCATTGCCAGTGTTGCATGTCTCCTGCCCTGTTGCCAGAATTTGTACATGCATGACCTGTGCCATGGTGGTGGTCATGAAAACTTCCGGCGGAATGTTGAAGTCACCGAACACGATCACCGGCCGTTGCAGACTCGTCACAAAGGCCAGTAAACCAGCCCACAACCTGCTGTTGCATGGGCCTTGCATGCCTTCGCCACATTTGAAATAACTCATCACCAAAATCAATTCGCTATTGCCAAAAGTCCAGGAAACACCATACCACCCACATCCGTCAATGACCTGCTTCTGGACAAAATGGAAATGTTGATTCGGTGGGTAGACCATCATGAAACCCCCATTGGTGCCTCCCTTGACAGTCTCAGCTGCTGGTTCACCTAGCATGTTGAGTCCACGTGTGACCAGCCATTGCTGTGTTTTCTCAAAATCCGCTGCACCCAGGTGAGTTTCCACCATGAACAGAGGCTTCCTGGGGCGAGTGATGATCCATTGTCTCACTGCGTGCCCAAGTTGCGTGATGTTGGCAAAGTCAAACTGGATGCCCTCAGTACACTGCCTCTTCGAAGCCTGTTCCGGCACCATGGGTCGCTGGCGCCCTGGTGTCACATCACACTCAATGTGGGCCGGTAGCAGCCGTCTTGAGGGAATGGCCCAAACCTGCACTATCTGTTGTTGGGTCGTCTCTGACAGATGTTGAAAAGGTCTGGGGTATGCACCATCATCAACAAGCCAGTACAAACCTCTGTAGATGAAAACAGCAAAGAAATGCCCCTCCTGGTGTGCTGTGCCTGAATGGCACAGGAAACCGATCAGGGAGTATTGCAGCATTCGAGTTTCTTCTCCATCCAAGGTGACCGGCAAATTGAAAATCGAGGGCACTTGCAACGCACGGTGGTGCTTTGTCCATGTTCCCTGAACTTGCTCATAGCGCCCAATCTGTGCCACCCACAATCCTTGCCCATCAAACACCTGGCCCTCTGCTGTGTTTGCCCATTCAGCTATCAGGTGTTCCAGGTCCCCCGGTCCTTGGGAGGCATGGAACAGCAGATGGACCGGGAAAGCTTTGTGCTGCTGGACCTCCTGTCTGTAGTCAACCTGGTGGTAGCTCTGAATTACATGATCCGTTTCCGCAATCGCCACCAATTCTTGCAGAAAATGAGATGCATCATCTTGTTTGTTGTCATCAAATTTCTCCCACAAAACTTCCAGCCCTGGCAGCTTTGGCAGGTGAACCACCTCATCAGCCTTGAGTGCCTCCAGAACTGCTGTGGTTGTTTTGCTCCACAGTTTTGGTCCATCCATGAATGCCCCCGCCCATGGCCATAAGCGGAAGGCTGCATTCGCAAAGCATCGGTTGTTTGGATTGCCAAGCCTGCATTGCAGACTTTGGGCCACGTAGTCAAGCGGCCACATCGGACCACTCCTTGGTGCATGTCTTTCAACCTGCATGTCTATGTCGCTGCTGGAGTCCATGATGTCATCCATGTCGCCAGCTCCTCCTGTGAAGCCAGGAAAAGGCGCACTCCCTTCCTGACTGGTCAGCCGCTGGTCGGCTGAACTCCCCATCTCAGGCCCGTCAAAGGAAAACCCTCCATCGCCTGAGCCAAAACTAGCACAGCCTTGCATGCTCACATCACTATTGCCCCTGGATGTTTGTTGCAAGGTTGTGTCACCCCTTTCATCAGCCCGTCGGAGTAACCTGCTGTTACCCACACTTCCTTCTTTTTGCCGCGCTTTCAACAAGCTTCACGGCCAGGTCTTTCACCTGGGCTGATGTAGCCTGAAGCCCAACACTGGCCATTGCAGTGACTAAAGCTTCAGGGGAAAGATCATCTGCCATGTCTTCAGCATCATCTTGTTTTTGCTTTTCGAGTTGCTGATTGTACTGAGTCGTGGTGCTCTGCAACTCTTTCTGCGCCGTCTCAATCTTGCCTTGCAGTTCCTTGAGGTCTTGCAAGAGCTGAGTATATTGAGCTTTGACTGTGTCTGCCTTGGTCTGCAGGCTTGCTTTTTTCTCTGTTAGCTGCTTCAATGTGCCCACCGCTTGCTTGACTTTGGATGCCAAAGGTGGTTCCGGTGGATCTGGTGCAACCAGTTTCTCCACCGCCTCCTTCAACTCAGTGGGTAAGCTCTGGAGGTGCTCTTTGATCAATGTGGGTAAGTCAGGCGTGCTGGGTGGAGCTGTCACCTGCACCCCTAAGGAAGTGCATTTCTCTTTGAATGCATCCGGCAGCTGGTCCCAGTGATCTTTGAGGGCCTTCTGGAGGGCTGGATCTTTGGCCTTCTTTGCCTTGCGGCTCTTTTGTCCACCGTGGAGTCCCGGTGGAGGTTCCAACAAGGCATCTTTGAAAGACTTCCTTGGCCATCTATGCCCATCACCCTGGAAATTCCATGAGGCCCAGGTCACTCTGCGGTTCTGTCTGAGGTCCGGAACCTGCTTTTTCTGCCATGCCTCTCCGCATTGATTGCATGTGAGATTAGGCTGACTCAACAGCCTATCTTCCCAAATCCAGCTGCACCTGCAGTGGCCGCACACTTTATAGTGCCGGCGCATTGGGATCACGGCACCCTCTGCGATCTGGCCCGAGAGCTCTGCAGACTCAAGGTGTCCGTGCCCTGCTGGATGGCCTAGGGACCCGGTAGGCCCTGGCCTTGATGCTGAAAATGGCCTTGAGCCTTGAGCCAGATATATATATATATATATATACGTGTGTATATATATATATAGAGAGATAGATGGCCACGACATTCATGTTTCAGTGCTCCAACAACTTGTTGAATGCATACACATTAACTGGAGGATCGTATCTATAGTACTATGTACCAATCAAAACTTTATGGCTCTTGAAAAAAGGCGCATGTTAGCTAGGAACTCGGATACCACCACCCACTTGCAACAAAACCATGTGGAGGGAAAGCTGTTTGCTGCAGGTGAGTGTGTGGTCTATGAATCGGATTTTCTCTTTCCACGGACTGAAAGCGGGAGGTAAAAAAATAAACGAATGCCAATAAGTACAAAGAACTAAAATAGCATCATCCGCACTACCTTTGCCACATTACGTGCTCATTTGTGGGTCACCTTGCATAACTTGTGCCACACACAGGGTAGATACAAAGGCAACAAGAACAACTTGTGGGCACAGTGACATGAATCCTGTTGCGGACTTAAAGCAAAACACCTTTCGTCTACACCTTCCATGTGTTTCATCACCGCAAGCAACAAAACAGAACACAGCCCTCCTCAAAATGCTAAACCAGCCATTTTTGCGTGTATAATGGATAGAACAAAGGCCTCTTTCCAAAATAGGATCGAATCATTCCTGTGGCATAGCCGCAAATCACGGTTTTGCAGGACTGAAACTGGCCGCCTTAGAAACGGGATAAAGAAAGCGGGCAAGGAGGACGACCATCAAACTGTTCTCATTTGTTGCCCTAAACAAATACAGTACACTCAAATCATGTTGGTCAAATTGACATCGGGGTAGTAGAGCTGATGCCGGCGCGCATGCCCTCAAAAGCCAAAATTGGCACTCACGCCCAGGTTTGCAGGTCCAACACCTCAGCTAGCCGGTCCAAACTCCCCATATTTCCGAATCCTTTTTTGGGGACGGCAAGTGGAAGTAAAGCCAAGAAAGTAGATGGTAGCTAGTAAACTTAAATACTTACATATCTATACATATACAAATATATATATATATAAATAGTTGTTTCTTAGGCTTGGTGGCTTGGATACACGAAAGCTCAGGAAAGCTCACTATTCAATTTGACAGCAGGGACGGGAGGTTTCCCGGTGGGATGTGGTAGTTCTCACCTTGGATAGTGTGTTCGCAGGGCCACAGGGGTTGAAGACAAATTTTTGAATAGTCTCAGGCATGGATTTGCGCCAACTTCAATCATTATCGCGCACGTTAAACCTTTGCAGTGGTTCTCCAGGATTGAGGCGTATGTGTTGGAAGGATGCAAGCTCTTTGCAAATCTGTTGTTATAATGTCTGGACATGTGCTAAAGGAGCATTTCCATGCGCTGAAGACCATACGCCTCGCCATGAAAGAATGAGTTGGTGCACTACACACTGCAGAAAACAGCGAGGACCGAAATGTCGGGTTAGGTGAGTCGTGGGGTTTGAAACATTGCCATGGTGGATTGAGGGCCAGTGCAGTGCGTCCAGAACGCTTCTAGACCATGTCTTTTGTTGAGTCTATGAACTGCCAACAGGTTCCGATGTTCGATCGGATCAGAAGCAGACAAAATCAACAAATGTGGCCCTAAATTAACACACAACTTGGTAAGATAAGCGTGTCAGGTATAAGGGTTCACCATAAACGGATCCAACTCCGAAAGCCCAACCGGTCAAGGCAACCGCCCCAGTGCGTCCGAGCCAAAAATAAGTGTCGAACAGCCAGGGCATCGAAGCAAAAACAACATGCGAGGAACGACCCCATCCAGCCCTCAAAAAAGAAAATTTGGTGGCCAAAACACTGACCCCACGCAACAAAAAACTTAACCTTCCCGGAGAACCCCCATCCCTTAGGTCATTTGATTCCTACTTTGGGGGGAACCTTACCCAATCCCACCATGTCCATTGTGCAAGCTATTCTGAGCCACCAAACCCCTGACAAAACCAGCCTCTGCGGTGACAGGATCCCTGCGGATGAGGCTTTCTCGAGCAAAATGTCATTGTGATAACACATTGGAATGACAGCCATAGCACCACAAGAGTCCTTGGCCCGATGACCACATTGATCGCACATATACTCATCAGCACTTCTATATGTGTCAAGCCATTACTTTTTTTGGCTCATGTAGCCGCCATTACTTTTTTGGGCTCCTGTTCGAACTTTGTACACCGAAATTATCTGGTTGTGATCATGCACCCGCCACACCACTTCGCTGGGTCACCTACCTTCAAGATGCAGTCATAACTTTCATCCATTCGGCTTGGGCCCAACCTTCATATTTATTTCCACTTCTCACCCAAACTCGCTCTTTGCTTCGCCTGTCTGCCGCCAGGTTCAGCTCGATGCTGGCACGGCCCTGCTGAAAGCGGCCAATCATTGTCAGAGGCGTGCCGGGGATCCTGCCGACACAGTCAGCTTTGGGACTCTTGAAATATCATCATATAAATCACATAAATCATGTAGGAGCCACAACGCTACTAGGGGCTCCTGGCCTTACTACTAGGAGCAAGAAGCTACTAGGGGCTCCTGGCATCGCTACTAGGAGCAAGAAGCTACTAGTAACAAGTTAAGATACAGGAATTCTGTAGTGAGACATGAACATTTGTCGTGAACTTACACCAGGCCAAAAGCTGAGAAGACTTTGGACTTGCAACGATGCCTGTAGGAGCTGGAGATAAACCAGGGCTGACCAGCACCTGAGCAAATGTCACTCAAGATCACCGAAAACAATTTTCTAGGAAACTCGTTCACGTAGGTGCTTGCTGACAGCAAGCCAACCGTCACCTTTCCGATACAGCAAGAGCTGCCTGGATATTGTAAGGGTGCCTAGCCTAATAGTGAAGCAGGCCAGTTGAAGCGTGACGGCCAACCTGAATCATTCTGCAACAGCCGGGCAAGGCTGGACAACAACACAATTGGATCAGGTAGGAATCAAAAAAAAAGCGACTGAAGGTGGTCGTACGTCGTCACAACCTGTCAGCAAATGTAAATCAGGAATAATCAAGAAGCAAAGCCAGACGTGCGAAGATGGACTCAAGAAAACTAGAGTAAAAGAGGTGGCACGGCCACAAACTACTAGCTTTGGCCTAAGCCAAATCCACAGACAAACCGGAAACATGTATATAATTATATTATAAGGAATTATAGCAGCCAGAGAAGGTATCATGGCGGCCGACAGGACAAAGGTGAAAAGACGAGGGATGCAAAGCTAGCCTAATTCCTTCCACACAGTGGGGCGAGCCATTCATTCATTCATTGCCACGCAAATGACCTGCCCACTGACCCTACGCCCGCTTGTAAATTTGGCTGGAAAAAGTAGGAAACTTGGACAAGCCCTGTGTCAAACTGCGTGCAACAACCGCCTTTCTGGGCCCAATGTTTTCCTAATGAGATTACCATCATGCGAAGAGTACTGATCTGCACACTATTTGTTTTGTATAAACACATCAAACTTTGGCTACAGGTCTGAAGGTGTGGAACAAGATCAGAAAAGGAAGAAGGGGAATTGTAAGGGGAATTGTTGTTCCCACGCCTGCTCAACAAAAGTGGAGCTGGACAAAATCAAAAAATTGCAAAAGTAGAAAAAAATAGTATGGAGGCCATCGCTCTTAGGTTGGAGGCCATCGCTAGTAGGTTGGAGGCCATTGCTCTCATGGTCAGACTAAAGGTGTAAATATCGCAATCTCAGTGCCGCCGGACCGGCCAAGGATCCTAGCACTCACACAAGTTCTTGCGTAGCAAACCTCTATGAACTCACAACTGACTCTCAGAGTGCTTGCACCTCCTGCGCCAAGGCACGCATATGCTGTAGTCGCATTTGGAGGTTCTCCATCTGACCTTGTAGCCTGACAAACCAAATACGTACAGCTGTATGCTGCAGGCTACTGCAGGCTGCAGAAGGGTGATCATACGAAAGCTTCCCTTAAACTCCACTTACAAAAGCCCCGATGGCAGTGCTAACATGCGCAGCACTCCGGGAAAGTTGATAAGAGTACACCACACCTGGAACTGGCATGTATTGAGACACAAATGCAACTTCTGCAGAATCAAACTGGAACTGCAAAGACAGAGACTGCTTTCTTGTTGGGCTGACTCTCCGAGTCTGCTCTTGGGTCTATTCGGTTGGAAATACTGAATCTCAAAAGCTGTCCTTGCCAGACTTAAATCTGAAATGTCTTTCTTGAGCAAGATGTTGCGCTTCATGAAATCATGTGTATCCGCCGACCCCGGCCGACGCAAGGGGGAGCGCGCCAGGGAATAAT